TGTGTGTGTGTGTGTGTGTGTGTGTGTAATATATATGCGTACATGAATTAGCCAAAGTTTCCATCAGATCACAGGATCAGTGCTTAATTACAAGCCATGCTCTCGCTCATCCGCAACTGGGTGCAAGCCATCGGTAATCTTGTTGGAGAGGAATAAGCCCTGTAGTCACAAGACCAAGTTCTAGTTAGCAACTGGAATGTTGGAACCTAACGTTAAAACTTAAGTCTTTCCATGCCGTTTTTACCTTTAAGTTCCACTCACCTCCTCAGGCATGTTGGGCATGTTTAAAGAACCTGGTACTTGGAATATAGCTCAAAGATAACTGAGAAAGTAAACTGCATTTATGTGCTTGGTTCCCATTAAGTGGCCATTTTCAGGAGTTCAGTTTTACTTTGTGGTAAAAAGAAAACTTCATCAACAAACCTGTTTGATAAAGTATTATTTGTAGAACACATTTGGTGGGGCTTAATCCTTTTTCCCCCTTGGAATTCCTAAAGGCTCTTATTCTATTTACCTACTGCTTGCTGTTGGTGAATATCTGTGAGTTGTTAATGAGTGTGAAGCTTTGAAAATTGATGATTACATGTAAGAAAATGTCTTAAGACAATCATGGTTGTATGCTTTCTGCCTCTAAATTACTGAGAGTGTCAGCAGTTACTCCTGTATGTACCCTTAAGGACAGTGCACCGAGCATTGTGAGGTAAAGCGGTGTCCCTGACATGGGCGGCCCAAGTTCTTCTGCTGTGAGAGCCTTTTACTTCTCCCACTTCCTGATCGAAAGCTGGATATACAAGCTGTCTTTGTTTTCTACCTTTTTCTCCTCACAAGCTCTTAAGAAGAAAACATTTTTAAATACATGTTTGACATAAAAATGTATTTGTGTAACTTTAGTACTTTCCAAAATCGAAGGTGAAATGCATAAAAAAAATTTGGCTGTCTGAGTTTTTAGCAGGGCAATTTACTTTTTTAAATACCAGAAATCCAGTTTGTACATGCTAATATTAGGCCTGCTATACTGAAGTTTTTCCTGCCAACTTACCTCCCACAAGTTAAATTGCGTACTGTAAAATTTAATCTAACATCTAAAGCTGTTAAAATAGTGATTGATGAACATTCCCCACTGAAGTCCCCCCTCAAAAAACAGCTAACGTCTCTCTGATATTTTAAAGTTTGTTACTTTAATTCATTTAGAAAAAAATCTTTAGGACAACTACATTTTTATATTCCATGTCTATGCACACTGGGCGTTCATTTAGGACTATAAGAAAAGCCATGCAATGCCAGGTGTGGTAGCTCCCAGCATTTGGGAGGCTGTGGAAGAAAGATTGCTGTGAGTTCAAGGCCAGCCTAGGATACATAGGTGAGACCCTGTCTCAAAAAGAAAAAAGAGGGCCGGGAATTTGGGAATTTAGCTCAGTGGCACTGCTCCTGCATTGCAAGTGCGAGGTCCTGAGTTCAATCCCCAGTACCAAAAAAAAAAAAAAAAAAAAAAAAAGAAAGAAAGAAAAAAGAAAAGCCATGGTTTTATTTGAGGAATGCCCAAATCTCAACCTAATCTCTTTGGTTGACAAAAATTTCTACCTTTCTTTGTTTTTAAGCAGAATAAAATCCTACGATATATGTTTGTCTTATGCATTTACATATATTATGCTGTTAGCAGGTATAATATGAACATGTATAGATTACATAAAATGTATGTGATCCAGCCAGGGATTTAGCTCAGTGGTGCCACCGCCTGCCTCGCAAGTGCAAGGTCTCAAGTTTGATCCCCAGTACCAAAAAAAAAAAAAGTTTAAGAGCCTGTCCTATAATGAATTGCTCACAGAATGTGAGCACAGACCATATAATTTTTTATACTTAGGCATCTTAATGTGTACTATTGGTCTTTCTAAAGTCTCTTTAATGCCAAAGGTCATAATTTAAAACTTTATGAATATCTCACTTCTAATACAGTGTTGGCAAGTATGAAAGAAGTTGAGCATAAGATCATTCTGTTGGTCTTTGTCCTATGTACACCCCTCACTCGTCTGACCACCTCACTTGCCTCTGATGACGTGTAGACACTCTTAGGCGCAAAATGCGGTGGGGTGTCCTGGAAATTTTCATGTAAAAAAGTTACTCTTCATTTTCGCTACTTGGAAAACCAGGTGGTTCTTGGCAATGAAACATAAAGTCTGGGTCCCCAGCTCAGTCAGCTTGTCAGTTAGCTCTGTTTTGCGCAGATGGTCTGATCGACTTGTGTTCGGTCTCACTTATGAAAGGTGGCTGGCAACTGCCCCAACTCAAGGGGGAAGATGTTGAATCACAAGAAAAAAGACCCCTGCCCACCATAGGGCTAGAGAGCGAAACCCTGGGCCTGTTGCACGCTGAACGTGTGCTTTACCACTTAGCTGCACATCCAGCCCCTCCTTGCCCCCATTCCCTAATCTGTGCTAGCCTTTTATCTGCTGACTCTTGGGAAGACCTGTGCATCTATTTCTTTAGGGCTATTTCCAAGGTGGATTTTTTTTCCAGGCCTGAAGATACAGATTAGCTTCCAAGCCCATCTTCTGGATGGCCTTTAGGTGAGAATAAGGCAGAGCTCATCTATTTATTCCCTGTACTTATTAACTTTGGTGCAAAGTGTGCTTTGGCGTAATCCCTGGTAGAGTGTTTTACCATAACCTTTTCCACATCATGCTGTACTACAGGGATAACATCTATGTAAGTGAAAGAGAGTTGCTTGGGATGGTATGAAGGGTTGTGATGGTCTTTACCTTTAAAATACTTAGCTGCAGCAGTGATGTGACTGCTTTAGAGCCAGCTCATATGCGTCAGCTACTACAAATGCATCTCAAAGACTCTCTCTCTGCTCATTTAGGCCTGTCTCCTCCCTCCTACACATTCCCAGCTCCAGCAGCTGTTATTCCTACGGAAGCTGCCATTTATCAGCCCTCTGTGCTTTTGAATCCACGGGCGCTGCCACCTTCCACAGCCTACTACCCGGCCGGCACTCAGCTCTTCATGAATTACACAGCCTACTATCCCAGGTAAGGCCCTGAAGGAAGTCGAAGCAGGGGATAAGCACAAAGGACTCCTTTGATGGCTGTTGCTCTCGCCCACAAAAGAAGATTGTCTGCCTCACTGAAGGCTAACGAGGCCTCGGCTTCTCTGACCAAGATGGTTGTTTCGAAACAAACTGAACAAAGTGTGTTTTTTAACCATATAGGAGCAACATAATGTTCTAGTTACCTAAGTATACAGCTTCCCTTTCTACTCCTCATACTGTAGGTCCCTGAGTGAGTAGCACTGTAATGCTCGTGATAGGGTGGCAAAAGCATGGGAAGGAATCACAAAGCAAAAACCCATAATGGGGACAGCTGTATTTTTAAGTTGCATGACCTCACGTCAACTCACGATAAATAAAAACTGTCTCTTTAAGCTGGGTGCAGTGGCACACACCTGTAATCCCAGCTACAGGAGGCCGAGGCAGGAGGATTACAAGTCTGAGGGCAGCCTGAATAACAAGATCTTGTCTCAAAATGAGGGGAGGGTAGAGAGATACTAGGGGTACAGCTCAGTGATGGAGCACTTGTGTATCATGTGCGAGGCCTTGGGTTCAATCCCCAGTACATGCTGCAAAAACAAAGTAAGTCACAAAAATTTTAGCTTTAAGTTTTCAAGGGCTTACCTTCTTTTGCTCTTAAATCTACTGTAAAAGGGCTGGGGATTTAGTTCAGGGGCATCATGATGCCTGCCTTGCAAGTGCAAGGTCCTAAGTTTGATCCCCAGTACCAAAACAAACAAACAAACAAAATATTTACTATAAATAAATCCAGAGTTAAATTACTTGGTACTTTCTTATATTGTACATCTTGTGTTTGTTTTAGTTACATTCAATTACCTGGGTGGTAGCAGGATGTGAAGGCGAGAACGTTATTTCTTCTAACTGGAGGAAATCACACAACATTTTGGGATCTTACAAAATGATGGGATTGACCAAATTTTTGGAGTCCCTTTTGGGTCTGATTGCTTCTGACTGAGTTGGATGTACAAGAAATGACCTACTTCTCTGTTTTTTTTCTTTTAATTTTTGTTATGTTATGTTTTGTTTTGTTTTTTTGGTACCAGGGATTGAACTTGGGACCTTGTGCTTGTGAGGCAGGCAGTGGAACCATTGAGCTAAATCTCGGCCCTTTAAAAAAATTTTTTTAACTGTCTTTGCCAGTAACCAGTTCACTTTATTAACATGCCTCCAGAATTTTACTTTAGTATAAGCAGTGTTGCTCAAAAATTTCAAAACTGAGCAACAACAGCAACAGAAAACCCCATTCATTCATTAACTCACTCACTCACTCACTCATTTATTTGTTTGTTTGTTTGTTTGTTTTCTTCAGACAGGGTCTGGTCTCACTACATAGTTGAGACTGACCTGAAACTCACTATGTAGCCCAGGCTGGTCTCCAACTCACATTCATTCATTCATTCATTCATTCATTTATTTGTTTGTTTATTTCTTTGTTTTTTTGAGACAGGGTCTCACTATGTAGTTGAGACTGACCTGGAACTCACTATGAAGCCCAGGCTGATCTCGAACTCACACTGATCCTCCTGCCTCAGCCTCCCGAGTGCTGGGATTACAGGCTTGCACCACCACGCCTGGCTCAAAAACCCCATTTATACCAAGCCTTATTTTTTTTTCTATTTAGACTAAATATTTTATTCCTAGTTTTTCACTGTCACTGCTACTGAAACTGTTCCTTATTCCACTGGGGAGGAAGGCTAGGAGGGAAACGTGACACGTGTCAGCGGGCGGGGGAGTGTGGGCTTGCAGACACAGGAGTGACTGACAGAGCACGGAGCCACCCCAGTCGTCACCCAGACCTCGGGACAGCAGGGAAGGTCTCTGTCCACTCGCGCTGTGCCCACTGCACATGGTCCTCCCGAGTCCTGGGACGAGAGGGCACCTTTAGGGGAATGAGACGGAGCCTTTAGTGGAAGCCCCAGGATGGAAGGAACTGACGTGTATAGGTTAATTGCTTGTGTAAATCTGGGCTCCTGCCTATAGATTAATTTTTTTCAACTGTAGTGTAAAAGATTACAATGTACCCAGTAGTAGGTAGGGAAGCAGAGTGAGTAGAGTTCTGCTTTAAGGGGCCTAGGGGTGGGTGGGATAAATCACAATTTTTTTAAAGTTCTGATTAGTGCACCCTCACTCCAGAAATGACCCTTATTACCAGTGTGATGATGGTGGGTGGGTTCTGAAAGAGGACTGTCCACTTCTTCCTTACTGTTTTTAAACAAGAAGGGTGCGATTTCCTTCATTCTTGTAACTTTTTTTATAGTGTCCCCAAACGAAAATACATCATAATTTAATGATTTATTTATTTCTTGACAGCTAAACTTCTTTTGTGTGGTGGTGGTAATAATGGAGATTGAACCTTTGTTCTAGCTACATCCCCAGGCTTTTTAAAATTTTTTATGTTGCGATGGAGTCTCACTAAATTGCCTGGGCTGGGCACAAATTTGTGAGCCTCCTGCCTCCCAGACTTCTGAGATTACAGGCATGCACCACTACGCCTGGGTACATCTCAACTTTTAACTTTTCCCCACTAAGCACAGCTCATATTGGCCTTTCCATACTTGATTTTATTTCTATAGGGTGATTTCACAGAAGTAACATTTTCAAACTGAATGCCATGTGCATTACATTTATACTAAAACTACTTTTTTGGAGGCGGTCATGGGTTGAACCCAGGGACGTGTCCATACCCCACCCCTCCCACCCCTTTCTTTAAATTATTTTTGTTTTGAGACATTTATTTTTGTTTTGTGGCTAAGTTACCACATTGTCCAGCCTAGGCTCAAACTCAAGATCCTCCTACCTCAGCCTCTGAGTACTGGGAGTTATAGGGATGAACTGCCATGACCCTTTAAACTGATATTTTTGAATTGACTTTGTTTTGTTTTGGTACTGGGGATTGAACTTGTGAAAAGGGATTTTGGTAAGTTGCCCAGGCTGGCCTTGAACTCAAGATCCTAGGTAAATGACTCAAGTGTATTTCTGTGTGTTCTCTGATACATAGAAGAGTGACATGGCACACTGTAGGCTGAAGAAGGAATATTTTTCAGAGAAGCTTAGAGTTTGTCATTTTTTTTTAGAGTGCTATAGTTTTCAGAATAAAGGTCTTTGATTACCTACATTAGATTGGTTTCTAGGTATCTCAGTTTTTGGATACTATTGTGAAAGGAGTGGTTTCTCCAGTTCCTCTTTCAGTGAGTCTGTTATTCATGTACAGGAAGGCTATTAATGTTTGTATGTTGACCTAGCTACTCTACTGAATTTGGCTATTAAATCTAGAAGACTTTTGGTGGAGTTCTTGGGGCCTTCTATGGAGAGTATCATGTCATCTGCAAATAATGACAATTTGATTTCTTCCTTTCCTCTTATTTTTTGGTACTGGGGATCGAACTTAGGACCTTGTGCTTGTCAGGCAGATATGGGGCCACTGAGCTACATCCCCAGCCCTCCTTCCTATCTTTATTACTTCTTTCTCTTGACTAATTGCTATGGCTGTGTTTTTTGGTGGTTTTTTTGTTTGTTTTTGTTTTTTTGAGACAGGGTCTCACTATGTAGTTCAGACTGATCTGGAACTCACTATGTAGCCCAGGCTGGTCTAGAACTCACAGCGATCCTCCTGCCTCAGCCTCCTGAGTGCTTGGATTATAGGCGTTCACCCACCATGCCCAGCTTTGGCTGTGATTTTTTTAAAATTGAATTTTCATTTTATTTAAAACATTTCTTAGGACCAGGGATTTAGCTCAATGATGCTGTTGCCTGCCTCTCCTGCACAAGGACACAAGTTCAATCCCCAGTACCAAAAAAACCAATAAAACATTTCTTATTTATTTGGTCACTGGGGGTTGAACCTAGAGCCTTGCGTATGCTAAAATGTGCTCTGCCCAGTCCTTATATTAACATTTTAAATTTCCTCCATATTTCTTTATTTTGGGTACTGAGGATTGAACCTAGACCTTTGCACTGAACTACATCCCCAGCTCTTTTAAATTTAATTTTTTAAAATCTTGAGACAAATTCTCACTAGGTACCAGGTTGGGCTCAAACTCACAGTCCTGCCCCAGCCTCCCCAGATTACATTACACGTGTGTACTACTACACTTGGCAAATTTCTTCCCTTTTATTTGGTACCAGGGATTGAAGTTGGGTCCTTATGCTTCTGAGGCAGCTGGCGGAACCACTGAGCTAAATCCCTGGCCAGCCCCTCTCCCATGTTTTAAAATAAAATATGTGAGTTTAAATCAGAGTAATTCAATGAAATGTTCACATTAATGGATGTGTGTTCACCTCAAAGCGATGTGTTTATTACAGCATTCACATGGTGATATACTTTGTAGGTTTCCGAAAAGTAGTTATTTTAAGCTTTTTTTTTTCCTTTTCTTTTCTTTTCTTTTCTTTTTTTTTTTGAGCCAAGATCTTGCTGTATATTTGAGGCTGTCCTGGTATTCACAGCAACCTTCCAACCTTCCTGCTTCAGCCTCCCAAGTGCTGGATTTACAGGAATGTACCATCACATCTGGCAGCTTTCTAATTAATTTAACTGTTTTAAACCTTCAGTTTAAGTGAGCAAACTGCACCTTCTGCGTGTGATGTATGGGGAATATTATGGCCAGTAACCCATGGCCTTTGGTGCATGACAGTGGCCAACACATCTTTCCACCTGGAGGTGGATACAGGGCCTTTGTCTCTATTTGATCTATTTTTGGTTTGTTCGTACATTGGGAGATGAGCTCAGTAGTTTCAGTGCTCTGGGAAAGTAAGTGTTTGTTGTCATGAGGATTTAGCTTACCTGGTGAACCAAAGAGCAGCGTATTATTTTGTCATTAAATGAGTTCTTAGGGGCCTAAGAGCACCCTTAAGAGCAAGTGAAATAAGTCACATGCCATTTCCTTTTCTCCTTATGGACTCCTGCCAACCCTTGGAAGGGATTCCCCTTCCCCAGGGACCCATGCCTTAGCCAGGACCCAAAAA